AAACACGTAAAAATCTGGTGATACAAGGGCAAGAGGTCCCAAATCCCTGAGAGAAGTGTCCCAAAGGACTAAGTATGAGAGAATTTTACCACCGCATCTCGCTCAAGTTTCATTTCTAACTCGAACGGTAGTCCCAGTTAAACCTCATACCTGTTCTGTTGGAGTCCGATCAAAGATTGTTTCAATAGCCTAGTATCTCCTAGTTGTTGCGTAGTTCGCTAAGTTCTCTTGCAGCCATGTTTCCATGTTTTCTGATGAAGTTACAGTTACTGGGTTCTCGTTGAAGTTGATAGCCAATCGATTGGTGTTTAGGAAGTCCTGGACGATAGCTTTTTTTATGTGTCTTCATTAGTTAGTTGTGCAGACTCCAAGAATAGAGTTCTCTGAGGGGAGTTCCCTACCTTGCTGTTGTGGAGCGAGTTTTATTTTACTCTAACAAGCTCATGGCCTTCACCTCCTAAGGTATGTGGCCCCTCTCCCTGTAGAGAATGGCGTATTTAAGTCCGGACTTATCTCGGTTTTCATGGCGGACAAGTAGTTTTCGCTGAGAAGGAGGAATGCCTAGAATTCTTGCTTGGTCCGTGATCTTTATAATAGTATGGTCTAATGGTACATGGAGTTCTTAAGCTATATCAGAGTTTTCTCTATAGCCTCATGAAAAGTTATCTTTGAATCTATTTGTTCTGCTCCGTGAGTGCTATTCTGTATAAGAGTTATTCCGTATTTTAGATATCTTGTTTCTTGCTTGACAGTACAAGAGTCATCTAAAGATACATTGATCCCTCTGATCCTAAGTACAATTAGAGGAGAAAGAGACACCCAAAAGATCGAGGGCAATAAGGGATGTTCAAGAAATAAAGAAGCATTAGTTTACTGATTATAAAATAAAGATTGGGAATGTGAGTCTTTTCGACACACAGACGATCGGCTGATGACCTCCTTGGATGGAGGGAAACGGATGATCGCTTATATTGGTTGAGTCTTCTCCGGATTGATTGGTCCGAATCAGAATGACAAGGTAGTCATCCAACACAAGGAGGTCGAACATTGCGTACGGTCGTCGGCTTGGCTAGTGGTTATGTCCACATGTTGGTGGGTCCGATTCTAGATGAGTCCGTAGGGGCTAAGGACGTGAGTCGGCTAGTGGCATATTAAAGATTGGAGAAATCGAGTTTGATTACTATCAGACTGTCACAAGCATAGAAATGCTCAGAAGTTTGACAAGTCAGGAGCAAGATTCACTTAGACTTTAACACATCTCACGCGCATCTCGATAAGTATTGAAGAGGTTTAGGAGGACAGAGTATTGCGTGCCCAAGATCTGTTGTTCGCCAATACCAGTGATTCTCCTTGCCTACCAGAGGTGTATCTGTACAGGCGATAAGCACTCCCGTTCCCCTCTGTGTGTACTCCCAACTCCTGCCTACAGAAGGATATTAAGACAGACTGATGAGGACCAGAGTAGGGAAGGCCTTAAGCCATTTTGCAAGAAACCGACATCTATTCCAAAGGGTTGACCTTACCCCGACGAATAATAGATTCAGTTCCTTACCCAAAAGGGCTTTGTTGCCACCAACTTTAATTGTTTACTGCGAAATAGAATCAACCGATGTCAGCATCTGACCCACTTCAGTAGGCCAAGTATGTTGCATGCGCTGGGTCAGGGCGTCAGTTATGCTCTACTATTTCGTCAATGAGTAGATCTAATCCGGCATTGCTTAGTTGAGGTGGGATCCGCCCAGTGCTGATGACTAGTGAGTTCTTATGTGATATGTCTCACTTATTTATTCTCAAAGATGTGGTAAGTAGCATTTCTATGTTTTATATATTATTTACTCATTAGTATATACAAAATTTATTATTTTATGTTTACGCAATTTTTTGATTTTGAGGCTTACGCCTCAAATCGCCTTGAGGCTTACGCCTCGCCTCAATAACGAAAAACGCCTCAATACCCGAATACGCAATTTTAAACCTTGGATACCATTGAAAACATTAATGGCATAGAAAATAGGTTGGCATCAAACTCAAGCGATGTTGGGTGAGTGGCTACGAGGTGGAAGTAGTAACAATATACAAGTCATAAGAGGCACCAGAAGGTGAGCTTGAGAATGTGCTGACAAAGATGCTAGTAGCAAGAGTTGAACTGCAGTGAACTGGCGTGCCTATGGTAGTAGCATTGTGATAGGACAAGCACGTTAAGGAGAGCACAAGAAGGCATGACAAGAGTCAACAAACATGGCATACATGATCTCTCTTTTACCGTGTATTAAATCTTCTGGTAGATTTCACGTAATTTGTTGTGCTTCATGCTCACCCAATTGCACTTGGGTGTGTTTTTTGTTCAAGGGAAATAGCCTTTGGATTGAGAAATAGAATTCTAGTCTTATGTTGAGAACTAAGGTATAATGATCTATACATCGGGTTGTATAAAATATTTTAACATAGCAAGTGATGTATATGGAAGTGCTGCTCAAGGACTTTTATTTAGGTGAACTTCTAGTTGTTACTTTTTAAAATAGTGTCTGTGATGATATATAATATCCTCATTTGGGGATCTACTCTGATATTATCATAGGATCTACCATAGTCTTCTCGTAGTTCTTCCTTTATCATTGTATGTTCTTACCTTCTTTAAATCAATCTCCATCATCATCACAAACCCCAAATATAACTTCGCTATGTTCGCAAACTCTTTTGTTCATCATCTAATAATAATTAATCATAACAAAGGTCAATTTAACTTGAAATAATTGTGAAGTTTTACATTTTGACTTGAAACATATGTATTGCATGTGCAACTTTAAGTAGTGCTACTTTGATTCTATTAAAATTATGAGCATTTCTATTTAGAGAAATAAAAAAGGATTAACTTCTTGGCAACGAGAGAGATTCTAAAACCTGAGGCAACACATGTTGAGAGGGAGACTTCTAGAGATGATCATGAAGACCAATCTTGTCTTGCATAGCTTTTGGAATGACAAATCATACTATAACATCATTTAGACAAAAGAGATAATTAGATAAACAATTCAAGGATATGAAAATTTACTGACATGTATAATTTCAATTTCACTTAATCCACTTTATTATGCAATATATGTGCTTTGAAAGTCTCTCTTTGGGTGTTAAGTTGAAGCATCATTTGAGCCTATCGAGATAGCACAGAGTTCAGTCCTTCGGGGTTTTAGGAGCTTTGATTGCTCATCTTGAAGAAGAATCTTGGAGAATATCTAGATGTATTACTGCATTAAGTCAAGGAGGAGATTTGTTGGATTTTATTCACTCAACAAGTTGGTAGGATAAGTAGAGATTTATAATACTAGGTTTCTTAGGATAATAACAAATTATTTATTTTTGGAAAAATTTTGATTAAGATAATTTATTGCTCGGATACATTTAAGCCACACTTTAAAAATGACTAATTTTGAAATAACCTTAAAATTCTTAGGATTTAGGGATGCATTGAGTTGCATGCATAAGGCCCCACTATGGGATATGATTAGGAAGCGAGCTTCAAGAGGCAAAACATGAAAGTTTTAGATTGAGGAAAGAAAAAAGTGAAGAGGGACATATAATAATGCTAACGTGTGATCTCAATGAGCTGAAAAACAAGTTACACCAAAAATTACAAATAAAGTAGACAAAGGCCTTTTAAGAACTTTTGAAATAGTCAATTTTCAATCTTCGTTTAATCATCTTTTTTTATTATCTCTTTTGAATTATTTTTCCTTATTTTTCCTTATTTGTTCTAAAAATTTTAGGATGGTATTTTGTGCCAAGAGAGAGTGTACTATATAGGGTTTTTAAGAGGACCGGTGAATGTCCATTTTACACACCATTTGTGGCTTGTACTTTAGCGGAGTGGATCATCTCCTTTCTCGTGAACATGAACGTGTTTTAGCCAAATCAAATAAATCTAGTTATTTTTCATCAGTACTTGAACTCTCATATTTTTCGTTTTGGTTCATAATTTTTGTTTTTGGTTAATACTTACACAAAAACTAGGCAATTTTCTAATAAGTAACTCAATTATGAAAGTAGGTTAAAAAATCTAAAAGCAAAGTTTGAGAACTTACAACTCCTACCATATAATAATTTACGTGCCCCTCAAGAACATTGAGCTTCATCATCCATTCAAAAGGGTTAGAATCCCAATGCTATTGCATCCAGAAACATGGCTTGCAGCAACCATTGTATTACAAGTTCCCTCGATGCAGTATGTTGAAAAGTTGGGTGAAATGGAAGTAATAAAGAAATTGGTGCCAAAGCGAATGGGCTTTGTTCCTTAAGACTAGTGGTATGGCAAGGGACACATTAGAAGGAATTAGTACCAAAGCATGCTTCTTCTTGGCTAATGGAGGGCCTCATATGATATTGAAGAAAATGATGTGCATAAATGAAGATGCAATTTCTTTCTGTTATCACTGAAGCAAGAACTGAAAAATTTCCAACTTCTAGACCTTCTATCATAGTTGAGAAAATTTAAAGAGTATAACTCCCATAATAATTCCACATGATTTAGTCTTTTCTTAAACCATGAAACTTGATGATGTTAAAAAAAATTTATTTGAGGGAGATCAGTGATCGTCGATTCAGATAACTCACATAAGAGGAGACAGTTTAGGCACGTGAGGATACTAAGTTTCATCCCACATTAAATAGGCAAAAAATATTTGTTGACATATAAATATTGAATAATTAGCTTTCACTCATAGAATTAAGCTTTTAGATTGAAAATGAATTTGACCACTGCTGCATAGAACCCATCTTTGATCTTTTGCTTCATTCTCCTTAATATTAGATTTCTTCACAAATAAAGGAACTAATTCAAGTGATTGAACCTATGCACCAAACAATTTAAAATTCAACAAACATAAAGTTTCTTAATTGAATCTATTTAAATTTAAGAATTGGTCATTAGAAGTCTAAAAGAGCTTATTGATCACTAAACCAAGCAATTTAACTAGCAAAGCCACAGCTAAACAAGCTTATTGATCACTAAACCAACCAATTTAACTAGTAAAGCCACAGCAGCTAAAGGCGTCCATAAGATTTGTTTTTATTGTATGGAAATGTATTGTGCATCGACCTTCTAAAATCTTCATAGGATAGAGCAAGATATCATAGGAATAGCTTGGAAGGGCAATAATAGAAGATACCTCCAAAGATATGTCAGTTGGGATAGTTCCAGCACCCTCTGCTTCATCCAAGCGCAGCCGATAGGCAGAAGAGAATGCTTCAATGTCATCCATAGTTGGAGAACCATATCTACGAAATGTTGTGAACTTAACAGTGATAATAATTGCAGAAAGAATCTCCAGAAATATGTTAAGAATAATAATTACTGTACGTAACTTTTGCTAAATGATAAATGGAACTCGAAAGCTCCCATAGGTAAACTGGCTGTCCTCAATTAAGCACATAAGCATATAACATCGATATTGACAATTTTGTGTTGGGTAGATAGAAAACTTTCATTTATAAAATCAAGCAAAATTGCTATGCATGTGCAATACATTAAAGAATCGCCACCACAGCTAGAGAGAACATCATTCTGTTTTGTTTCTTATTGAAAATTTAATGCATATGATTTTTATAGATAAAATTGTTAGCATAAACTCTTACATCTAGTCTCTCCAGTCTGATTTCATTATTCTACTTATTATACTTCAATGACTAGATGACGTATTAAAATTAGGGGTTAAGTTGCCATGATTTTTGCAAATAACGAATTTAATGTACTAATTAATTCCTTAATCAAAGAACTTGCAGGGAAAAAAGTGCATAGATCCAGTTCTTCAATGCTGATTCTTAGGGTAGCCACACTTCTCATGATTTAAGTTTGCCGCGATTTTGGATGTCGCATTATTATTTAGCATTTGATCTCCATAAAGATCTAACAGTTGGTGTAAGGAACATATGGAATGACTGATAATGAAGTAACGTGGCACGTGCTCCATGTTATAAATCACTCATTCAGTATTCTTGATTTTGAAATCACCAGTAATGACTAATTTGCTTTGCTAAAATTTTGCACTGTGAATATTTAAAGAATGATTATATTAGAGAGGTGATTGGATCTAGAGGTGTAAGTGAGAATTTCTGCTTTTGAAGTTTCTAAGCTAGAGTGAGAAACTCTGCTAGGGTTTTCTTCGCGCATAAGTTTGCCGCCTTTTCTCCCCGGAGAGGACTCCACCTGCAGGATGTCCTCCTCCCACTTCCCTCCTCTCCCTTCCGCATCCCTTTCCCCCATTTTGTTGTCCTCTGGTCCTCTTGACTGGAAGCTTCTTCTAGCTTCCCAAACTCAAGTCTCTCATGATTTCTCTTCCTCCCTCGCTCAATTTCCTATGCATAACTTTACAGCACACTTCACATCAGCTCAAGTTAACGCCAGAGCTCCGGAATGGTCCCTCTCCCTTGTTGGGTATTCCATCAGCAGAAGGCCCTTCTACGAGGCTCTTCTCTCCACTATCAAAAAAGCTTGGAATCTGAAAGGAGCCCTCTCCTTCCTAACCCTAGACAATGGCTTCTTCATCCTCAAGTTCACTGCACCAGAACATTACGAGATGGCTTGGTCCGGTGGCCCGTGGTTCTTCTTCGGGAAACCATTTATATTGCAAAAGTGGACGCCCAACTTTGTGCCGAAGAGGGAAGAGTTCCCCACCATACCTCTCTGGATCAAAATGAAAAATTTGCCTCTATCCTGCTGGACTCCATAAGGGATCTTTAAAATTGCCAGCTATGTCGAAATTCCCTTGGCAATTGATGCTCTCAAAGCAGCCAAAACTCGTCTCACATTCGCCCGCGTCTGTGTGCAGGTGAACAATACATCTCCCCTCCCTGATGAAATTTTTATTTCGGTTGATAGAAAAACCTCCCCCCTCATGATGCTTTATGACTGGAAACCAGTCCCTTACACCCACTGTGGCTCCATTTCGCACTCGCCTCACCAATGCCCCAACAACCTGAATCCCCCTACCCAACAAAAAGCACCCCCTCGTGGTTGCAGCAGCAGCCACAAACCAAGAAGATTTCAACCCCCTGCCGCTTCTAACCCCAAAGCCCCTCTGCCTCAAACCTCCCAGCCTCACCACTCAACCCCTCTTACCCAAAATCCCCCCACCCAAAGTCAAAGTTTGTCAAACCTCCTCCCCCTGGTGATACCTAACCTAAATTCCCCCTCAAAAGACTTCTTGAGCCCTCTCAATACTCACCCCTGGTTTTGGCTTACTTCCCTCGAGCTCCACCCCCATAATTACCAACAACAAATTTGCTTCTCTTTCTGAGCAGGCAGATAAAGCTACAAACTCTACTTCCTTCCCCCATAACCCAAGTCCTCCCTCTTCTTCTCCTCTTAATCACCCAACCTCCTGTCAGCCTACTACCCAAGTCTTGAACATTCCCAACCTCACTCTTATCACCACAACTGAGCAATCCTCTCCTAATGATTGTGACCAACCTCCTACAACACCTAACAGCCAAAGCAACACAGTAACACAACAACAATAGCCCCATTCTACATCCCTTTACTCAAAAGACCAAGAACACTAGAAGCAAACACGCCAAAAAGGAGACCAACGTTGTAAGATTGTTACTGGTAAACAAGTCTCCCTTCTCTTCAACCCTGCGACCTGATGGTTACACTTTTGAATTCTAAAAAAATACCTGGAATGTTACTGGTAAACAAGTCTGCAACGTTGTGCTATCCTTTTTTTCTACTTCCTTCATGCCGAAGCAAGCGAAAAATACAGCCATTGCACTCATTCCTAAACAGGCTCACGCCTCTGCTGTCACTGACTACAGGCCAATTGCTCTTTGCAACTCCATTTATAAGATTGTTGCCAAAATTATTGCTAATAAAATGAAAGAGGTTATGCCTTACATTGTCCACCCAAGCCAAGCTAGTTTTGTTCAGAAAAGGGTCATTTCTGACAACATTCTTTTGGCAACTAACCTTTTAAGCAGATTCAACTTAAAAGCAAAAGAAAAATTCTTTTGCACCAAATTTGATATCCACAAAGCTTTTGACTCAGTCTCCAGACAATTTTTGCTAGACCGTCATCTTTCTAGAGGATTTTCTCTGTTGTTTATACCCTGGATTAAAGCTTGCATCTCTAATATTCATTTTTCGGTGGCTATTAACGGTGCTCTAGATGGTTTCTTCAACTCCACCATGGGTATTAGGCAAGGATGCCTTCTTTCCCCATGCCTCTTCTCAATAGTTATGGATGGGCTATCTGCTAGTTTTGAGGAAGCGGTGACAAATCAAAAAATTATCTGGGATTACTGCGGGCAATGCCATTTTTACTCATCTTTTATATGCTGACGATTTACTTGTTTTTGCTAAGGCTAACATCCGGAACGCACAAACTCTTAATGACATCTTGAGTTGCTATGCTGCTTCTTCGAGCCTTCACGTTAATCCTAACAAGAGCTCTAACTTATTCTCAAAAAATTGCACTTTGAACTCTTCCATTTGTAGTTTACTGAACATTCAGCATAAACTAAATCCTATCAAATACTTGGGCTTACCCATCTTTACTAAAAAACTGCATCAAGCAGATTTTCAGCCTCTCATCAGAAGAATTACTTTGGCTTTTGATGGATGGAAAGTCAAGACCCTCTCCTTTGCTGGAAGAATTCAATTCCTTATATACACTATATTTAGCATACTTGCCTACTGGATCAGAGGCTCTGTCATCCCTAAAGGATGCTGTAAACTCATCAACAAAATTTGCTCTAGATTTCTCCTCTCTCGAGACATCTCGGAGAAGAAGATCCATATGGTTGCTCGGAAAGACATTTGCTTACCAAAAAATTGTGGGGGCCTTGGCCTTCCATCTATTGATGACCTATCTCATACCTTTGGTTGTTCTATTATCTGGTGATTCCTAAATGATGACAATCTCTTATTCCATTGGTGGAAACTAAGCTACCATTCTCTTTGGCTACCACAACCTAAACATGCTTCTACCTATTGGACTTTCCTCTGTTCGGTTGCCTCTAAGATCAAACATTGCCTTACCATAAGGGTCCTCTCAATGCAAGTTCTCCCTTCTCTGAGACCCCTGGTGCAATGGAAATTCTTTATGGGATTTATTGACATCCCGCCCTCATGACTATTATCTCAGGAATACACTGACTTCACTGTCAGCAATTTTATTCGGAACGAGCATTGTTCCATTCCTCCCACCTTCCCTCAAGACATTAGCCAAACTATCCTTTCGGTGCCTATTGTTCCCTCATTTTATGGATGCCTCTGGTTGGGTTCTGACAGTATCAACACTAAGGGCATCAAAAAGCAATATCACTCTCATATTCCTTCAGTTAATTGGCATCATTATATTTGGCACAAGCGGTATGCACTTAGATTTTCTTCTTATGCTTGGCTTGCTTTCAAATATGGACTTAAAACTGCTGATCTTCTGGCTCGTCATGGCATTACGGTAAATACTTGGGCTATTAAATCTCACACTCACCTCTTCTTTGAGTGTGACTACACCTTCAGTATCCTTAAATACTTAATATCGCAAGTTGACTCTCTTCTCTTGAGACCTAACCTCTATCAAGCATACAGTTTTATTGAAGATCACATTGTCAGCACTGAGTTGAATCATCTCTACAATCTTCTGGTTAGTGCAACAATTTATTTTATCTGGAGAGCAGGAATGATAGACTATTTGGCAACTGTCTCGGCTATCATACCACTATAGCCAGAAAGATTAAAAATATTATCTTATACAAATCTGCTCGCTAGAAAAATGCTCATATTTACAGACAGTTTCTGGCATGAGCTCGCACCTTATCTTTCTAGCTTCTTGACTAGTTCATTTTGTGGCTGGGATGATCTGTGGAACTTTTGTTATTCCCCTTGGATGGTCAAATGGTAACCACGGGTTCCCACCGATTTTGTTATATGTTTGGATGGAACATCATATGTGCTCTCTGCTGCTCTTTATCGAGCTGTTTTTTTGGGAGGCTTTCCTCATCTGTTGTTGATCTCTTTTGGTTGCACTCTGATCTAAATGCTCGTGCTTCTTTTCCTAGGGTACTATTTTTTTGGAAGGACGATGATGAGTGTTGGGTCTACCAGCCGCCCCTTGGAAGGTCTCTTGGCAACCAGGGGCCCTGCTTTTATGCTGGCTATTTCAAAAAAATGAATTTTTCCTGACCATAGTTGCTCTGTCTTAGCATATTAAGTCCTTCATAGCTTTAGCTTAGTTTTCCTTTCTCTGTTTTGTTCCCCTGCTTCTCTTTTTGTGCTTGAG